TGATAGCAGAAATATGCACTGTGAAAATTGCAGAGCTGGCAGTAGATCTCTCCCTCCCTCCCTCCCTCCCTCCCTCCCTCTCCCTCCCTCAACAACCTTCCATTGTCAGTGGAGATGGTGCTTTAGGCTTACCTTGATGAAAGCTGGTTTGCAAGCGTGCATTTTGCCAAGGAGGCATCAGGAGGAGAACAGCGAACCTAGGAAGAGGATCTCTCCGAGTGTTGGAAGATGTCTTCCTGCCGTCACTGGTTCTCTTCCCTTCTAGCAAATGCCTCCTAGGCTATGTTGGTAAGGAGGGTGAAGAAACACGGTGCCACGAGCAATTTACCAGCCTAGCGTGATGTTACAGCAAAGATTTTCAAAGCGTCAGTTGCAAAACCCATGTATATGGATGTGTGCACGCGGGTGAGCCACCTAGAAGGAGGTGGTGGTGTCAACATTATTTTGCAAAGCTAAAGTGAGTTTTGACAGTGTTCTCATTTGCACATAAGCAACAAAAACTGGAGAGCAGTCAAAGCTTGTTCCTAGTTTATTTTTATTCAGTTATAGTAAACAGGTTTATATAGCCACCCAATCCATATATAGGTGACTCGGGGTGGCTTACATTTAAAAAACCCCACCGTATAATAACCCGCCCCTTAAAACCCCACTCCAGCCCCTAGTGTGGTCACCTAGTTACAGTAGCAAGCAAGAGTCTAGAATTGTGAGCTGCTGCTCAGGTTTGCACACACCAACCCCAAGCATCGCTAAAGCTCACTCTTAGTTGGCCTGAGCTAATCTGTAGCAAAACCCAAAAATGACTTGCTGTCCCAGTTTGCACACATGAGTGTTGTAGCTTGCCAGTTTTGAGAGATGGCTAAATGCCAGATAGGTCGAGCCATCTGCCAGAACCTTCTGCCAGACAGAGTAATTGCCTTGATCATTTAGTTACTTGGTTATTAGTTTATTCATCATCTAGTTTTGTTCCTATGGTTGGTTGCACAAAATAATTCATTGTTTTAGGGGTTATGGTATTGCGACTTTTTGAGGGCCGCCATGTTACAAGGTTATATTATGACCGCCTGCAAACTAGATTCAAATCTCTATTAAACCATACTAGACTGATTTTTTCGCTTACCATAAAAGCCTGTTGTGAAAATAAAAGGATTTACTGCATGCACTTTCTTAATGAAATACAATCAAAGGTATGAGATGGGATGAGGGTAGACAGATTTGTTGGACAAATATTAAAAGCCTTCTCACATTTTTTGTTCTCTTGCAAATCTTGAATCTCAGGGAAGGGATGGGATATGGTAGGATGGAATGGAACGGAACAGAATTCTTTATTTAGCCAAGTGTGATTGGACAAGGAATTTGTCTCCGGTGTATAAGGTCTCAGTGTACACACATACAACAACATCGTAATAGGTCCTAGACCGTAAATCATAGTCACAATCATTAATAATACATAATATAATATATACCTGTTCAACCCTGACTGAAGCTGAAGCTCAGATCCTTTAGCCACCTAAAGAGAAGGGAAGAGGGGACTCCTTGGAGAAGCCCCTGATGTTGGGAAAGGTGGAAAGCAAAAGGAGAAGGGGATGGCCAAGTTGGAGATGGTTAGATAGTGTCACAGACGCAGTGAATAGGAATTTGGGCAGATTCCGGGAAACGGTGGAGATCAGGGGCACCATTGGCGTCGCAAAGAGACAAACATGAGTTTGCATCTGAACAATGAAAAAATTAAATCCCCAGGAAGCTGATGCTCTGGGGCAATGTTTCTCAGCCTCAGCAATATTCAGATATGGGGATCCAGCTGCCAAAATTCCCCAGCCAGTTACCTTCTGACATCTGGATGGCACCAGTTTAACAATCCAGAATAGACATGGCATTGGTAGGAGCTTCTGAATGGAGAATAGACATGATGCTCTTTCTCAGAATCTGGATGTGACAAGTCAATATGTCACAAGCGTCCTTTGATAGGGCACCAAATAAACTCAACATACATACATACATACATACATACATACATACATACATACATACA